CCAAGGTCACTCTTAAAAGCCCCACTTTGATACAGCTTCACACATGTGGAGCCAAGGTCAATGATTAAAACCCCACTCTGATACAGCTTCACACATGTGTGACCAAAGTCAATGTTTAAAACCCCACTCTGATACAGCTTCACACATGTGGAGCCAAGGTCAATGTTTAAAACCCCACTTTGATGCAGGTTCACAGATGACCACTAGGCTGAGAACAAAAATATGCTAGATACTGTGGTAAGATGGTTTCCATTTGTTTCTGGTAATGATTTTTAAATATATTTGACAATTTAACTTTGGAAACAAATACCAAAATTGTAAACATCAATAGTTAACAAGCCTGCAGCAAACAGTGGACTACTCTAACACTTTGGAAATTAAAAATAACTCCCAAATATCTTTGACTGGCTCCACTAAATCTGACATAATTTAAAATGACATTTATATCCATACTCAAGTGGAGGTAAGGTCTGAAATCAACCATATCGTAATGTAATGTGTCAGGTTAAACAGCCCCTAAGATTGGTGGTACCGAAGGTGCTGATCATGTTTTCCAGCTCAGCATAAGTTCAAGTTCTTGCATGTCTGTATGAGGCAATTGTTTCTTTTCTTGTGTGATATCTCATTTTGTCTTGCCTTGGATACCCCCTCCCGCCCTCCCCCCCGCCGCCCCCCCCCCTGCAATATACTTCTGTGTCACATAGCCAGTGTGGAGTCCACAAAATAAAAAAAGGGGGGGGGGGGGGCAGACCACTGTCTCCCTATCAAGCATATCATAAAAGGTGACTAATAAGGGATTGTTCTTCTGAAGTCAGAGTCATCTGCCCGAGAGACAGAACCAACAGTCTGCATTCTAAAAAGCAGATCTGTAAAATGAATGTGCAGATAAACTTCAGGTTGTGGAACAATACCAAAGTCTAGAAGCGAACAAACAACCAGAACTTTCTGCTGGAGTTAACAGCTAGTGAAAACTAAGAAAACAGTTTCCAATCCAAGACAATTTTCTTTATTTTTATATTGTTTAATCAGTCAATTAAAGATGATTTAATGATAATAGGTGACTTTATTGGACATACAGGGAAGAAACAAACACTGTGGGAGGAATATCTGGGTATGTATGCATACACTGCAACTGCAATAGGCAACATATTCCAAAACTTTGTGCAGAGTATGGGCTCTCTGTCACCAACAGTATCTACAAACATCTTAGCAGCCAGATATACACATGGTATAAATGGAACAACCTAGATCAGGCTGCTGAAATAGACTTCATACTTAACTGCCAGATGAGGAGAAATATGATACAAGATGCAAGAGTCATTCCAAATACCACAGCGAATACTGATCATCACCAAATGATTATATACAAAAACAAACCAAAAAAACATGGTGAAAAGGACTAAGATTATTGGCATAAGAAAGCTAGATACTTCATCGTCTTATTCTTCTCTTCCACCTTGTACCTCACTTTGATACAGTTTGAAGTGTTGGGGGTAGATGTAAGCTAGATACAACATGGCATAAATTTAAGTGCACTTCTAAAATGTTCAACAAAACACTGTGGTACTAGATATGTTGGAGGTACCGTGAGAAAGAGAACAGCATCGTGGAGTTGTCTCAATGTATAAATAGCATCTGTGTCTATTGCGTCAAAAGCCTATCTGTGCAACTTTCAGAAGCACAGATGGGTTTGTGACGCAATAGACGTTGCACAGATGCCATTTATACATTGAGAAAATTATCAGAGAGAGCAAAAGAACATTCAAAGACCAGGAGAAAGCAATCGATAGGGTCGACAGGAATATGTTGTGGGAATGTATGGGGAAAAAAGGAATCAGCTACCATCTCATTAATATTTGCAAAAGCCTTTACTGCTGCATAAGATTGTCAAAAACTTGTAAAGTGCTCTCTGATGTGCGTCAGGGCTGTATATTATCGTCACTTCTTTTTATCACATACATGGATACTATATGTAAGGATACAAACTTTTATCATGAAGAAAGATAATACAAAATTACTATTCGCTTACGCCCAAGTATAGCAGTGTCGCGTGCGAATGTGCACCAGAACGCACCGGTACGGAGTGAGCAAATAAGACGTCAAAACAATACGTAACGTTGTTATGATAATATTGTTGTCAAAGCAGTTGATGTTTATAGTCCGAAGGAGACGGACGTGGGAATCCTTGAGGACGCTTTACCCCGGGTACCCACGGAAGCAAACGTTATATAAAGTTGGATCCTTGAGGACGTTTTACCCCGGGATTCCAAGATATACCTCAGCAGGAAGCTGGTGAGCACTACATTCTCGGCAGTAAGCCGGTATACTTTCATTGCTTAATTCGGACTTGTCCGAGGAGAAAGTAAATCGTCTGGATCTCAAGGTCGGACTGCGACCTATCGTGAGGACATATCATTACATGGATGTACGAGCGAGCTTTGGTTGAACGAGTTGATTATTACTTGCATATGTATCCTTTGTGTTAATCATTGCTGATTGTATATATCAATACAACCGTTGGAACTTAACGCATAGCGTTCGAGCTCTACATTTTGAAAGCATTGAAGTAACTACTGTTTTACCCCTACTTGGCCTATTTCATCTTGGTACCACACACATCAGCATGAAGCTCTGCACGTCACAATGAAGGACCGCACGTATCAAGCAGTAAGTACAGAATGCCTACAGAACAACCTAAATCAAAATAAAAACTAAGGGGAAGAATATCATATGAGAATAAACACTACAAAGACAGAGATAATGGTGATAGGATGATAGAAAAACAATTTAGAAATAATATTTTTTTTTTTAAACGCCTTAAGACAAACAAATTCAAGTATTTGGGAGCAATTTTCACATCTGATGTAAAACTGGACAGCAGAGAAATTAGCTCGAGATGTGCCAAAGCTAATCAAGTAATGGGGCAGCTTTCTCCCCTGTTCCCTGTTGACACACAAGCAGATACCCTGAAGTACTAAATTGAATCTGATCAGAACTATTTTTTGGCCAACACTATGCTATTAGTGCCAAACGTGGACATTTACATCCTCCAATGAACGTAAAATTGTCACAACAGAAATAAAATGCCTTAGAAGAGCTGCAGAGGTTTCAAGGAAAGACAAGAATACGAAATCAGACAAATGCTAGGAATAAAGCCAGTGTTATAGGTCATCAAAAAACAACAAATGAAGTGGTTTGGACATTTAACAAGAATGCCCAGGCTCTATCTACCATAACGAGCCACATTGAAAGGGCACAGAGCTAGGAGAAGACCTCGTAAAATATAGAAATGAACATCAATCTTAACAGAGCTCACCAATGAAAGTTAAACCCCCCCCCCCCCCCCCCTTCCTCCGACACTTCACTGAGGTACAAGGTGGAAGAGAAGAAGAAGAATCGTGGAGCAATGACGTCAAAGAAGCAGTGAAAGTTTTAAAAACAGTGATATAAGAAAGGGCAAGGTCCCTCTTAGAAGATGATTTTGAACCATACCGATTAGCAAAACAACAATGCACAAAAGTAATTAAAGTAGCAAAGGAAAAATCATGGATAATGTATGGGGAAAACCTTTATGAACCTTGTGTCAAATTTAGCCAACAATTTTAGAAAACTACAGCAAAAGTTAGAATTAGAGACAATTCCTTTCAACCATGCAAATATATAAATGATAGCTCAGGAAGATTTATACATTAAGAAGATAAAATCAAGGACAGGTGAAAAAATATTTTCAAGCTCTGTTGAACTATTCACTCGCAAATATGCACAGGAGAAAGAACCTAAAACCCTTGAACAAGAAGAGGTCAGAGAAGTTATTATATTAGATGCAGCACGAAGAACCAAGCGGCTGGCCACCTATCGAGGCATCTCTCTTCTAAGTCATGTTGGTAAAATGTTTGCCAGGGTTCTGGAGCAACCAATAAGATCCATTGTGGAGCTGAATCTTCAGCACAGGTAGGATTCAGAAGAGGATTTACTGATGATATGTTTGCCCTAAGACAAATCAGTGTAAAGACAATGGAACAGAGACACCAAATGAATGTTCTTCCTAGCTTACTAGTTCTTACAACAACCTCTCACTATCATATATATTCTACAATATCATTATAGAATTGATTCCAATCTAGTTAGACTAGACTGAGTCTGAATTTAATACACATAAACAATAACAAAAGCAATGCAAACAAAACTTTATGTATTTCACGTTACACAATAGTAAAATAGTTAAGGGTAAACAAAAACAACTGAAACTTTGTCAGTAATTCTTTTTAAAACAATTACACTTCAATTTATAAGAAACAGATTTCTTCCTTTTCTATATACATATTTATACAGAGGGGAAAAGCTAAAAGATAGTACATAAAGCAGTAATTTTTTAAGAAGGAATATTGAAGAAGGTCAATACACTGTGAAGCAGTCAGGGAAAAATCGAACACAAACCTTGAGTGAAAATTAAAAAAACCAGTCTAGGTTTTTCATATAATGATTGTAAAAAAAATGGCTGTGACTATAATTCACAAATACAAGAAAATGAATCTTTTTCGTAAAAAGGAATAATCAGTAAAACGAAATGGAGAAAGAAATAACTGCTCTCCTTTATTTTGACCATAATAAACATAGTTTTGTTGCCTTAGCTAGGTCCAGCAAACTGACATTATTATGATATGAAGCAATAACATCACATTTTTCACAAATGTGATTTCTTCTTTTCTACTCCCAAATAATATCTCACATTTTTTTGCCTTTTTGCCGGGGAGGGGGAATATATATAGTCATCCCACCATATCTACACAGTATACAGTTGTAGCCAGTACCAAAGCTGATGTAAACAGGTGTAGTGGCCAAAAGACTATGTCAGCAAAAACCTGTAAATGCAGAAGAAATGGCTTTTTTGGGGCAACAGGTTTATGGACAAACATTCAGATGAATGTCAATATAAAATCCACAGTATAGTTATTGCAACATGGACACAGTCAACAACAAAACTGTACACTCAGCCCATATTATTTACTTTCAGTCTTTACATCTGGTATACGAGGCAAAACTGGAAGTATCAAATTTCCAAATGATGAATCCTGGGTAATGAAGTATCCAACTGAATTTGCATGGGCGTGCTGAAAATATAAACAGACATAGGAAATAATAGACTGTGTACATACACAAGAATTTTTTCTTTTCTGTCACTGAGAAATAAACTTGTTTGTTAGTAAGCACAAGCTCGCCAAATGCAAATAGACTCTCAGATATCAAGAAATTCAATTATCATATTGTGAAATATTTGCTTTTCTGGTTAGACCTACATGACAAGGTGACCAACATGTGTTTATTTCAGCAGACAGGAGGTTATTTATCCAGACTGTACCTGTAACACACCAGGTGCTCACACATTTATCCAACACTGACTTCTTCTATTCCCACATTTAATTCTAAATCCAAAAACTCATCTATTCCACATGGTCTTCTGTATTTTCCAAGACAAGATAATCTATTGACTTCAGTATTTCACCAAATTCATGTTCAGGTGGTGGTTGAGGAGATGGATAGGGGGCAATTAACACAGTGAGCTTTCTTGGATCTGGCCAGAGAAAAAATGAACATTTCCTGTCATGGGAGAGATAAATGGAGTCAACATTTGATAGGCACCTCTGGGAGAACTTTCACTTTCCAAATATCAAAACAAAATAACATGATAAAACATTCAATACGAACCAACAGTTTTAAAAACATACAGTGTGGACCTAGCACTAACAATCCAGTCTTACCCAGACAGTACAGCATTTAAGGCCCCCTCTTTGAAGGAAAGCATGCTGACATCAAGTACCCTGACACAGATTCCTGGAGGTCTAGCTTCATCTATATCAAAGACTATCATAAAAATAACTACATTATTTAACCATTAAACCGGTCCTATTACCTTTCTCAATCACTATTTCAACAGAAGCAGAAAAAAATACCCCAACATATGTTTACTCCCGTCTCACATATTTCTGTTTGTAGTACTCTGTGTTAGCATCAATTTGCTGATGGTTTTTCAAAAAAAGTTCAAATCTGATTATCTAAAATTTCTTCATCATCATCATCATGTAGCAGGTCCTTTGCAAAACATCGCTCTCATCACAGTCTGCCTGAAAAAAAAAACTAGGTCTCTCGCCAGTTCTCCCTCCTCATGAACTTTCAACTCAAGAATTCACTTATATCCTGTGCCTATCTTCGTGTCGGTCGGCCCCTGCCCCTTCTTCCTGGTACCATGCCTTCGGCTATAATTTTTACAAATCCGTCGTGGCCCTTGATATGACCAAAATATTTCAGCTTCCGAGACAGGATGCTGTTTATTAGCCAATCTTCCTTGATGTTCAGATCTTTCAAGATGTCAGTATTTCTTCTCTTCTTTGTCCAAGATATTCTAATATATAAGCCCCTATTCTCTTTCTTAAGGACTGAGAGATAGTCCACAACTCACATCCGTATGTTGCCACAGGGAAGATGGCATGCTCTCAAAATTCTAATTTTGATCTCCTTGCTGGGCTTAACCAGACTTTTAAGGCTGTTCAATCTTAACATTTCTTCACAGAAATAAAATCTCAGTCACTCACACAGTAATTAATACATCTACTTATAACTGCTGGAGAAACCTGAATGAGGTAGGATGAGACTATTTTACAACTCTATCTAATAAACATTTTAATAATATAAAATATTTACTAGTTAGAGTTGTAAAAAAGTCTCATCCTACCTCGTTCAGAGGCTATTTTACAACTCTCTATCTAGTAAATATTTTATAAAATTAAAAATATAATTTTATGAAAAGTTAGCTTATAATTCCCAGGTACTGACTGTCAACTACTGATGTAAAGGAAATAAGCAAAGATTCCCCCCAGTAATTAGCATTTAAATAATAATTTCTTGGGTCTCGACTTTCTGAAGCAAGCATGGAGATGAATGGAGAAGGTTAATATCTGCAGCAATGAAATCCAAGGGCTCAGAATGCTGAAGATGAACAAGACTTTCTGTCGAGCAAATTCCTTTCACCTGACAAAAAATTATATGCAGCAGAACTATATTTAACTGTCTTCCCAATCATAGGAAATAGGTTTCTTCAACGCTACCTGTAATGCTGCTCTCTGCTGAGGGTTGCTGATAGTGGCATATTCTGCTGCTGATAGCTGCAAAAGATAGAATATAACCTGTTAAAATCAATGCTATAAATTATTAATAAAAATAATTAAAGCTAGCTCATCTCAATCAACTGTCCTGTATTGCTGCTAGGGGGTAAAAAAGTGTGCTGACATCCAATATTATTTTTTATCAGTGTGTTCACTAACTTAAAACCACAACACACAGCTGGAAAACTCCAGATGGGTGGATCTTCCTTCTTAATTTTCCAGGTACTTCAATGAAGTGTTGGGGAAAATGTACAGATTTTCTTAGTGCCCTTAGCAATGTGCTTTATAAGCTGGTTTATATTTCTCTAAAGTTGTCTGTGATGCAGTTGTCTTCCTCTTGCTCAGTGCTTACATCTCTTCATTGCGGTTAAATGTGACAGTTGGTACCACTCAGGTAACATGTATTTTTTTTGGGGGGGAGGGGGGGGGGGGGGGGGGTAAAGCACAGTTATACTGGGGCACCACAGTTATCATGTAACCGTGAACCTCTTAAGGTGGTTACCAGCAGGCACTGTACAGAGCTTCGAGCAAAGCAGGGCACATTAGACACCTTGGTCATCCACTGCACCTAGGTCCATTTCCAACTGTCTCGACATTGTCATGCCATTGGATCAAGATGGACACAGGTGAGAGAGTGAGGTCTAGGAATTGCGCAACTCTTCCTCATTTAAATCCAAGTCCTTGCGCAAGTCACTTTCATCCAATTATCATTTTGGATGAAAAGTGGTCTTCATCACTCATGATGGATGAACAACAACACAACTGTGTGGGTGCATCTGTTAAAAAAAAGCTTTAACTTGTTCAAATATTTAAACAATAATTTAAACAAAAATTTCTTTTAAAAACTGGTACAGAATACTTATGTTAATATATATTAAAATCAAAGACCTGTGTTTTTACTTCTCTGTCATCTGACATCCTTTCAACCATTTCAGTCTATTAGCTCTCATAATGCCAGTGATCAACCATGATTTAAACAGATTATGAATGACATTGTTGCTCTTCATTCTCCATTCCCAGCAAGTTGCACCTCTGATGGGTCCTAAGATTTGTCATAAGACTCTATTTTCGAAAACCTGTAATAAGGCTTCATCTCTTAACCCTCTGTTATGCATAAACAATTAAATATTATTATTTGTGCAAGAGTGAGAAAAGGATACAACACTGTAAAAATGTAATCAACATTTAGTAAATTTCACTGTGGCTGTAGAGAGTACATTTTCTCAAATACATATACTGCATATTCAGAACAGTCACACAGCCCACGTCTTCAGCTTGAATCAAAATTGACATGAACGGATGTATCAATGTTTAAATGAGAGATTAATACACAGTATGTAGAGAGTAAAACTATTTTACGATACTCACCCCTACAACGGAGGCTACAGGGCTGGTAATTATCGGAGCTGAGCTTATCACACTGAAAGTAGAAAATTATTTATACAATATAAATACAAAATAAAAAAGTACACAAAACACACAACAATGTGTAACTTACTGAAATGTGGCTTACATTAACCAAAATTAGATTTATTTGGAGAAATAGAAAACAAAAATACTTATCAGTGACACCATATTATACCTGAAATAACAACTGATATATATGTTCAATATTATATGACAATAGTTGAGTATCCTTTACAAGATGTTGCAGAACCAGCCCAAGCATTTTTTGGCTGTTGTAGTTTTTCTAGGCAAATCTATGTCCAGTAGTTTGCCACTGCTTTCTGGACGGTTGGCTTCTCCAAAACACTGTCAAAAATAACGCAAGGCTCAAGGCCCGTAGCTGGGATCGAACCTAGCACACCGGCATTAGGAAGCGCGTCTGCAATGCCTTAGCCACAAATCCAACAAATTATGATTAAAAAACACAATCATTAAAGTTCTTAGAACTACTGTTGGCAGGACTGGTGAAATCAAGGCTGCTTACCAAACTCACGTACCCATATTCAATGGTTGGGTTTAGACTGAACACTTCTGAATATCCCTTGCCTTACCAAAGATTAGAACCTGGGCTCCATAATATGTGATGGACATCCTAACCTCTCAGTCATCTGCTACCAGGCACAGATGTCAAACGTAAAGGTAGTCGTATGGAATATTCTGCCAAGATTTGTGAAGAGATAGGCTTCACAAATACTAGGTCATGGAGTTGAGTTGAGTCAAGAATTGATATCAGAGCACTCAGGGCATTTCCATGTGTGCTCCATCCTCATCTTCAGGCAGCGCAGAGTTCCAATACTGATGGAGTCACAATCTGGTTACATGTCTATCTTGCCTTTCCACTGAGTGTAGTTGCCGGCCAGACCCTCTGTGCCTCATTTTCTCCAGGCTTGTTTTGCTTTTGATTCTGTTACTTGTTCCCAAAGGGCTGTGACCACATCTGCCTTGTCATGTACAATTCACCACCCAGTGGTGCAGATCTAGTAAATCTGTCTGCCTGTTCATTCCCCACCACACAAGTATAGCCTAGAGAAAAGATCTAAAGTATGCTCACTACCCGTGACCTTCACAGTGAAGCTTGCCCCTCTGCTCAAAACATCCCTGTCTTCACCTTCTCAGCATGCTTTCAGAGTCTGTTACAATTACGACATGTGTATGCATCTTGTTCTCTAGCCACCCGAAAGCTGCAGTTACCGCCTCCACCTCCATTCTCATCCTAGATGTGGTGGTATCGTTTGCTAGGCTGTCTTGCACTTAAGAATTTCCATTGGCTTTCACTACGAACCCGCAGGCACTTCGCTTTCCTCTCAACACTGAACCATCTGTATAGATAATCAGATCACCTGGGCGAGAATTGTCATGAATCAACTGTTGAACTTCCACATCCGTAGCACATGCTGGCAACTCTCTGCACTCCCGTCCCAATGTGATCATAACCCTACACAGATCAGACTTTTCCTCTGGTACTCTGACCCACTCCTCTCCTCGCCCAATGTTATCCAGCATGCATACTTGTCTAATTGTGTCTTCTGCTTGAGCCATCCATGATTTTCCCCTTTTTAGCCTCTGATCTTTACCTTCAGCCAAAGCTTCATACAAATGGTGTTCCCTGTCTGCAGCTACTCTGAGGTATGACTTAGCCCGCAGCACCTTTAGCCTATCTACAATAGTCAGCAATGCAAGGATGTATAGCATGCACACAATCAGGGTGTCTCTTGTACATCCCAGGATCAGCCACATTCTGCATGCGCTCCAGTTTCTCTAGCTGACTCTTTGGGACAGTGAGTAACCCCAATTCATAATCAACCACTGAGATGATTGAGTGCTGGTAAAGTGTGAACAGCATTCTTGTGATGAGGCGCTTTGCATGGTCCTCACGATTACATTGTGGCAAGCAGAAAGTCCCTGCGACAAGGGACAGCACGAGATACTTGTGCCTAGTCGAGTACACGAGGGAAAGCCCGAGCTAGTCTCGTGGTCAGTCGATCATCAGAAGTCAGAGAAGACAGTTGTAGTAATTGAGGATGTTGTCTTCATGTCGCGCGAATTGTTAGTGTTCGAATATGTCGCAAGTGATATAAGCGTGAATAACGTTTGAACATGTGGAATAAATGGACCAGAATAAACTGACAGAATGTACAAAGAAGCTGAGTGGCGTTTGTGTTGTCAACCTTAGACGTTAAAGTAGTGCAAGTTTGGTGGCAGTAAACATCCAGAGAGTGAGCCGTGGCTAAAGCCAATATGTAGTGAGTCAAGGTGAATGACGAGTAAAGCCGGTGCAAACCAAGGTTCATTCCATGTCGAAAACCACGCGGACCTCAGTCATAGGAAATTCTTTCAAGGTAAGACAAACATGCGGAAAACAGTGTACGATACAACGTCTTCACCCGAGCAGAGCCTATAAACACAGCAAGCTGCGACTGGTCAGCTACCGACCAATGAAAAACGGTGTGTCATCTGCACCCTGCCACACACAGTATCACTAAGTTTTGCGGATTCAGGAAGTTTCATGTTTACCAAAGCTACACATCGTAGATATTTCAAATCTAGTTTGTGAATTAAATCAGGTTTGTGACCATTATTGTTTTGCTGAAACTAGCAGACTATGAACTAGTTTTATTTACAGTTACGATAAGTTTTCTAACCACAGTGACATTTTTGCATCGATTGTGCGTTTATCAGAATGTCGTCTAAAAAGTTTGTAAAATGTAAGAACGCTTTTTTGCAAGTATCATCAGCGACAATGAAAGACGCGTCGATATGCAACCAGAAGATTAAGATGTGTATTTTTTGTAAGTACCAGCACAGTTCTTCAACTATCTGCGACAGAGATCCTAAATATTCAAGTTATATTGAAGACTTGGTCAATAAAAAATGGCGAAATAAACAAAATAACAACCCTAAAAAATGTTATTTCTGTTCGGCATTCGGACATATTGTAAAACACTGTGTTGGGAAACAGATGTTAAAAGACAAGAAAAGATCATTGTTTGCAAAAACTAATTCAGAAAGAATGGATTCAGAAGGTATTCCTACTCTAGATTGTGCACTGTGCTCCTGGAGAAAGAATCAAGGGAAAGATACAGCTCCACATATCATTTTTATAGGAAAAAGCCAATTGAAATGTCCAGGAACTAAAAAGATAAAGAACGAAATCGTGATTGCAGAATTAGAAGCCAGCAAGAGCAATACAAGCAAGAAAGTTGAAACGAAAAAGACAGCAGCCACTGAAACAGAGAAAAAGTCAAACTCAGAAACAATGAAAATTAATCAAGCAAAGGATATCACTATTCTAACAATGACATCAGTCGAGACAAAAGCAACTCAGTGTATGAAGAAGACAGACTGTGAAATAATAGATAGACAAACTGTAGATTAAGAGTTCAGGTATTTTTATAATGGTAGCGGCATGGCTGCTGATAATATAAAGAGGGCACTAAGCCGGAAAAATCGAAGTAGAACAACTAAATGTCTTATTAACAACAAACCAGGTCAAATGCAACTAAATGGACATACATACTTCAATATAATATCGGATAAAATGTTACAACCATCAGACCATAGTGGAGAACTTGTGTATTATTACAATGATGAAGGAATAGTGAAGCTACCAACAGCATATATATATATATATCTAAAATCACCATGGATGACCAAGCTAATGAAAGTCTTAGTAATGAAAGACATTTCGACAGATTTGATTCTAGGAGATCTGAGAGGTATCAAGGACTGTTCTGACGAAGATATAAAAGTCTGGGAACAAAGGCATCTCCATCAACATAAATAACAGCTGATTCAAGGAAAATTACCATCTTTATTTATGAACTGAAGTATCACTATTTACTAACTTGAAACCACACGGTCCATCAATCTGAACATCATCAAGAAAACATATTACCATTCATGAAGTTCAAGAGTATTATTAGTCATGAAGCCACATAGAACCACCTTCAACCAAACGATCAAGAGTAAACCTGAACAATCATCAAGAATTGACATTTTACCATTCTTCACCTTCAAGATTGTCATATTTCAACCAAAATCAGAAATCACCAACTAGTACTGTACAGTGAATGAACAGAAACATATCAGCCACTGAATTATTCAAACTTGAAATCACCATCAAGGAACACGAAATTTTCTCCAGACACCTTAAAATCGACCATTGAAACATTTCAAAATCATCAAATTCTAGGCGACACTTCAAGAGCATCTATACAAATCAACATCAAGATCGCCGAGTACCAAACGTATCATAAAATAAAGAATGCGATAATAATAAGCATTCCTACGATTTAAACGCAATCAAGAGACAACAAAAATGTCAGTTTTATTTCGAGTGGTCACACAATTGTGTTATTTACTGTGACAGTTAGATCAAGTTACATACCTAAAGTGTTTGTGTAAATAAATATTAAATTAATGATGAAGTATCTTTAAAAAGTGCATAAACACCTGATTTCATTTATAAAAAACAGCCACATACTGTGTGTATTGAACATCTTCCGTAGTATTCCATTATTAATTATTTTAAAGGTGGCATATCAGTGTATATAGTCACTGAACACTGATAATAGCATTGTGTGTAACTCGTAAAATTATATTTTTAGTCAGTATATTTGCAAGATTACCAGCTATCCTACCAAGAAAGACCCCAGAGCAGACTGTTGAGGGAACCAAGGAATGAGAACCTTGAAAGCAAGCGTCAGAGTACAAGCAAGACACACACAGCCTGCAGGGATGGATCGAGATCAACGATAGTTAATGGAATGAATGTGAATGATAGAAAATAAAACAGGTATGAATGATGAATGAAAGATTTGTGATTAGTATTTTAAACTAATTAATAGTGTACATTTATTTCACCTAAGTTAGTAGTTCATTTGAATTATTTTAGTATTCATGTAATGACAAAATTAGTAGTTCAAAAGTTTTTTTTTTTAAAAAAAGGAAAAAAGATCTCTCTCCCAAGGAACAGCACGGAAGAATGAAATTATTAAGCTGTCGTAATATATAATATAGGGAAATTTTTTTGTCCACAAAATGACTTTGATAAAAATATTTAATTTAAAATGTTTAGCATAGGTGCACAGCACAGGGACATGGTAAATTTGTCCACCACACCCAATAAATTGTTAATAGTTATACTGATGCTGACTAGATGAACTGATGGTAAAGAAAGAGTGCACACATCAAAGCACAAGCACAGTAGAGCAGTTGAACTCATCTGTGTCCATCTAAAGGGGGAAAGGTGTTTGAGATTCCTTGGAGTTAACTACACTCATCTGTGTCCATCTAAAGGGGGAAAGGTGTTTGAGATTCCTTGGAGTTAACTACTCTGGTAAAGGTGTTATAGACTTGGAGGAAACTCTAAGATCTATGAAAAATATATCTCAACTATCATTGTTTTCATGTTGGATTCCTTGGGGTTGGGTAATTACCCTGTGAAAGGTGGAGTAGACTATGTCTATGAAAAACATATCTCAACTTGCATTTTTTTTTTCTGTGGTAGATTCCTTGGGGTTGGGTAATTACCCTGGAATAGGTGTTATAGAGGCTTTTGGGAAACCGGAAGCACTATGATAAATATATCTTACCACTATCATATCGGCTAAGAGTCCTTAGGGTTTAAAACCCTGTGAAAGGTGATGTAGAAATATTGGTTCAATCCAATTTTCTATGTAGTAAATATCTCAAAGCTGACAATCATCATCACTATCATCATTTCACTTTGAACCTGATAGAGTAGATATAGTGACTAGACAATTCTACAGATGCAATAGGTGTAAAGATGGTTTAAACTCTTCACCAGGTCAGTACTAGGAAAAGCATGCAGTAAATATTGAAGGCTGTTTTAAAGGGCAGTAATTAAGGATAATCAGGAACCATAATTCCTAGCAGTAATACATTTAAATTGATTTATTATACCTGTAGTAAATATCTCAAAGCTGACCATTATCATCACCATCATCACAATGATCATTTCACTTAAAACTGATAGAATAGATATAGTGATGAAGCTATACTACAGATAAATAGGTGCAAAGATGAGAAACCCTTCACCAGTTCAGTACTTCAAAAAGCATATAGTAAAAAGTTAAAACCAAGGGCAGTAATTGAAGGTAACTAGGAACGGTAATTCCCTAGTAGTGCAGTTAGATTTATGTTCCATTGATTCATCTATCAGTAAAAGGGAAAATGATACTTGATGTTCCATAAAGTATCATTTTGTTAAGAAGGGGGGGAGTATGTGATGAGGTGCTTTGCATGGTCCTCACGATTACATTGTGGCAAGCAGAAAGTCCGTGCGACAAGGGACAGCACGAGATACTTGTGCCTAGTCGAGTACACAAGGGAAAGCCCGGGCTAGCCTCGTGGTCAGTCGATCATCAGAAGTCAGAGAAGACGGTTGTAGTAATTGAGGATGTTGTCTTCACGTCGCGTGAATGGTTAGTGTTCAAATATGTCGCGAGTGATATTAGCGTGAATAATGTTTGAACATGTGGAATAAATGGACCAGAATAAACTGACAGAATGTACAAAGAAGCTGAGTGGCGTTTGTGTTGTCAACCTTAGACGTTAAAGTAGTGCAAGTTTGGTGGCAGTAAACATCCAGAGAGTGAGCCGTGGCTGAAGCCAATATGTAGTGAGTCAAGGTGAATGACGAGTAAAGCCGATGCAAACCAAGGTTCATTCCATGTCAAACCACGATTCATTCCAATTCTCTACTCCATGTCCATAATTTTTAGTGCATTAGGACCTTTTTGAGCCTTTGTCACAACTCCCTCTATGTGATCCTTGAAAGACAAACTTCTGTCAAAGGTGATTCCCAGGTACCGCAGTCTGCTGTCTCTTTTGATGTCCCTGCCATTTATTTTGAGGCCTGGAACATCAGCTCTAACAATCCTGTTGTCCAAAGAACACTACATGAGGGTTGCTTATTCTGGGTTAATTACAGCACTCATCTTTGTACACCAGTCGATCACCTTATCTACTGTTGTCTGTAACTCTTGAGCTATGTGATCCCGATGTCTCCCCATCCTTTACACGAGAACATCATCCGCAAATGTCAATATTCTGCCAACTCCAGGTGTTTCCAGGTCCGCAATCTTGCTCGTAAAAACACTGAACAGCACAGGTGAAAATGTGGATCCCTGTGGTAGCCCTAGAGCTATAATACATGGTTCCGAGGTCCATGAACCCATGCGGAGTGCTTAAAGGGAGAATACAAAGCAGCTGCAATCCAGTTCACCAGCCAAGGAGAGAATTCCTTTTCCATAAGCGCTTTCATCAAGATCTGACTCTGTTGAAAGCATCTTCTAAATCAAGTGCCACTGCCACCATTTCCTGTCTGTTCTGGAAACCTTTGAAGTTGTCAAAGGGAAAAATGGCTGCATTTCAACATATGTCCCTCCCTGGCCGGTAACTTACCAAACCTCATGGAAGATTTCTCTCTTCCAAAAATTCTTGTAGCTTACCCTCCACTATCTTCTCCAGCATTTTACCAAAAGTGTTTTGTAGGGTTATGATCCTAAAGCTGATGAGTGTTGAATGATCCAGGCTTAGGAAATGGAATCAGGTAGCTGTGCATCCACTCTTGTGGGACTGAAGCGTCCTAATGCTATGGGCTATGGTTGAAACAAGCAGTTATCTCCACCAGGTCTACATTGCTCAAGTCTTTCATGCAGGAATATCTGACCCCGTCAGGCTGAGGTGCAGTGACTTTCACCCCTTTCAGAACATGTTTTACATCTTCCACCTTTATGATGTCTCCATAATATTTGTTCTTTAAGGTGGCTGCCAGATCTTCTCTAACTGCATCAATCAATTTTTGAGACTGGGTGGAATCCAGAGTCACCCTGGACTACTATGTTCAAAGGCAAGCCCAGTAAAAAGGTTTAAAATAAAAACAGCCAATGTTTCAAAGCTATAGAAATATGAATCTACAGAAGTATAAGAAGATTTATTTCAGGACAACAGCAACAACAAATACAAAAGTCAAGAACATAAATGAAAAAGAGAGCTGAAAAAATAAAGAGACAAAATCAAACAGTATTGTCACATTAAAAGACATGAAACAAAACAATCAAGGTGAAAAAAAAAGTTACAAGTCAGTCAAGCACGGGGTTGGTCAGTCAAGTGCAGCGTTGGCAACAAAACTAGTGGGAAAACAAGAGAGGGTCAAACAGCAGACTATGAAAGTGCAACAATACAATGACTGCACACATCCACATTACCTGCTGGAGCTGCCATGGTGTCCATACTGTAATCTTTTCTTTTGCTCCTGAAGCTGTTCCAGCAGTTTGCGATTCTGACGCTCTAGCAAAACAGAAATCATGTCATAAATGTACCATCATATTTATAATCTGATGCTCTAGCAAAACAGAAATCATGTCATAAATGTACCATCATATTTATAATCTGATGCTCTAGCAAAACAGAAATCATGTCATAAATTTACCATCATATTTATAATCTGATGCTCTAGCAAAACAGAAATCATGTCATAAATGTACCCGAAATGTATTAGCCTATATCCAGTCCTATGATGATACCTGGAGAACCTGGAACTTCAGCTGAGGAAAGTCTTGACTGTTATGTCCCCAGAGATTACCACAACCTCAGTGGAACGTCAAAGCTTCAGCAGACTGGTTAAAGGAGAAATAACCTAGGCCATGTTGCAGTTTACTGAGATCAATTATTGTGTTGTAGACTTAACCAGCCAGGCTGTCCGCTAGCTTATCCTGAACAATTAGAGCAACTGTTGTCATGCTCCAGCTACAACATTTTTTCCTTCTCATGGGCTTACGAACCATAATGGTCCAGCCTCACAGTATATTTTTGGCAACTGTTTTATTTTTATCTATAATAATAAAAATGTTAATTTTTCGGTGTCGTTAGCTCTAAACTCGGAAACTACTGAACCGATTGCTTTCAAATTTTTATACAACGTTGCCTCTGACTCAAAGCGTTATTTTTTGTAAAAAAAATTGCATAAACAATGGACGACATTGCTCCAGCAACGGTCAAATTATTATTTGTTTCGTTGGCCGCCCGGATTTATTTTTATTGAATTGGCCACCTTTGACTGTTCAACACCGACCTTCACATTATTATTTTATACTTTCATTTCTACTAAATGCTTGAGTATTCAGTAGCGTAGTTAGTTGTAAGCATTTTACTTATTTTACTCGGGTAATAGGGGTTAAATTCCCCGCTGGGTGATATAAATTTGTTTTTTTGGGGGTGGGGGAGGGGGGAGCCTAACTGAGTGGCTGCCACGTTTTGTTGTGGTTTATAGCTAGGCTGCAATATCTACGCCTTTTTCCTGTTAGATTTTGGGGTTTACAGCTAGCCTGTGATAGCGGCGACGTGATGCTCAATGTTCATGTCACGGGTAATATTCATTCGCCTTTGAGAGGGCGGTTGGCACGTCGTGTTGTGGTTTACAGCTAGGATGCGATATCTGACCTAAAAGTCTTCAGTAGTAGAATTGTAAGTATTCCGCCCTTCACGTGTATAACGGGTGCTCGATTCCCGGCTGGGTACTAATTTTTCTTTTTACCCCAAAGAAGCGATTGGTACGTTGTGTTGTGGTTTAAAGCTAAGTTGCGACATCTGCGCCTTACACCCTAAGACATCCAATTTAAGTACAGTCCACATTAGCCTCCCCCCCCCCACCCCCCGATGCTTCACTCGATCAAATACTATTCGTTAATGACAGAAACTATTAACTAAGAAGGCTAATGGTCCAGTTTGGTTTGGGTCGACCCGGATGCCAAGGTTAATTATACATCGTCACTTCGGAAAGGGAGAGATGACGAGTGCGGGTTTTTATTTCTGCTATTTGTGAGTATAGTGTACATTTTTTTATATCACGGAATTTTACTGTGGGTTCCATTACTGGTTAGTTGATGGAGTTTTATGTCGGGGACACACTTAAACTAAACAGTCCGTGGGGACAGCATGCGGTGCCAACTCCTCTGGCTACAACGGCCTGTACAGATAGTAGTTACCGTTTTGTGTTGCTGTTGTTGTTGTGACTGTGGTGGTGGTAGTGGTAGCAGTAGTACCGGTACTCGATGGGTTATGTGGTAGCTGTTACACTGGCCACATTTACTTCTCAGTACAGATTAATGCTACCAATTTTTGTCTGAGTGTACACGGATTCCAAGCTCAATTTAACAACAATATTTCGTCAGGCAATGACTTCCCTATACTTCGTTGACGATGATATGATTGTCACAGGGAAAGGAGGGGGGGTGTCGAGGGGGGTTGATGCCAGACACTGTTAACTGAGAGAGCTTAAAACATTTGTTTACATTTCTCATTTCTTAACTATTTCTATTTTAACAATGTCGCCACATAATAATGTTTCAATAATTCAGAGAGTGAGATATAATTGTGCAGATGCTTGAGTCCTTGGTAGCGTAGTTGTCTATTTTGCATGGGTGACTGGTGATCATTGCCCCGCTAGGTGATTAAAAAATTTTTTTGCCTTTAACTAAGCGCCTGGCACGTTTTGTTGTGGTTTACAGCTAGGCTGCGATATCTACGTCTTCTTTCCGCTCGATTTGGGAGTTTACAGCTTGCCTGCGATAGCGGCGACGAGATGTTGGTCATGTCACGGGTAATCTTCGTTCGCCTTTGAGACGGCGGTTGGAACGTTGTGTTGTGGTTTACAGCTAGGCTGCGGACCCAATCTCTTCAGTCTTAGGTAGTATATTTGTACGTATTCCGCCCTTCACGTGGTTGACCGGTGTTCAATTACCCACTGGGTGCTAATTTTTCTTTTTCCCTCAAGAGGGCTGTTGTCATGTTGTGTTGTCATTTACAGCTAGGCTGCGATATCTTCACCTTTTGCCCAAAAACATCCGATTTCAGTAAAGTCCTATTTATCCTTCCCGCGAAGCTTCACTCGATAAAAAACTAGATGACAGAAGCTGTTAACTAAGACTGCTTGCAGTCCAGTTTACTTTGGGTGGACACGGATGCCAAGGTCATTTAACATTTGTCCCTTCAGAGAGGTGAGATGACGGGTGGGGTTTTTTATTTCCGCTATTTGTGAGTATAGAACGGACTATTAGTGTGTGTGTGTGTTTGGGGGGGGGGGGGGTTTTTTTTTTTTGTTGGGAGCTCAGTTACACTAAACAGTCTGTGGCGACATCATGCAGCGCTAACCCCTCTGGCTACACCGACCTGCACAGACAGTAGTGACTGTTATTTGTTTTTGTTCTGAAAGTGGTGGTGGTAGCAGTAGTACTGGTACTGGATGGGTGATGTGGTAGCTGGTTACACTAGCCACATTTACTTCTCATTACACATTAATGCTATCCATCTGTCTCTGGGTGGACACAGATGCAAAGCTCAGTTCAGTTACAATATTTCGTCAGATGATGACTTTCACATCCTTCGGCGAGGATGATATGATTAGTGGGGGAAGGGGGTTGATGGCAGACACTGTTAACTGAGAGAGCTTAAAACATTATTTTAAAGTTATCATTTCTTAACTATTTCTATTTAAATAATTTCTCCAAGTGATGATTTTTTTATTCTTTCGGAGAGGGAGATATGACTGGGTGAAGGGGAGAGGGACGGGGGTTGAGGGTTATGACAGACACTGTTAGTTGAGAGCTACTTTCTTTCTTTTCCATTTCACAATTTGGGGCCACAGCAACGCGTGGCAGGGCACAGCTAGTGATAAATAATTTTGTTCCAGTTTTCTGGTTAATTAATGTTGTTCTATTTTTAATGGTCAATAAAAGTTTGAAATGTTTACTTCTTTTTCACTGTGTTATTTATGGTTATGTAATGTGGTTCTACAACAATGCTTCTCCATCTTTACAGTGAAACACAGTTGGGAGCTACATCAATTGTGGGAGGGTCGTCTTTGACAGTTGGTTCTTGTTCAAGTGTCCAGAGTGTCCACTGTAGTTGGTCTCACCTATGATCTAGTTCTCACAAAAGCAATTGCTTTCGACATTTATAAAATAAATATCATGGGCAATCCCCTAAACAGAATTTATAGCCACTTCTGCAGTCTGTTGGAATTCCTTATCTATGCAGTCATCACTGATATCTTCCTTATAAAGTTTATCACTCTATCACTTCCTATCATCAATCATTTCATCAGTTCGCAGACTGCCTTCGCTCGAGCAAGACGTTGAATGCCAAGCCCGCATCGCCTCACCACGTCGCCCTCTAACTATCCATTCGTTGCCTGATTCTCAATAGCTAGCTACTGGACAGATTCACTTGATATTCGGCTGAGTCTGTCTCGACTAAGCTATCAGGGTCGGCTGCGTTTGGTCATTAGCTGCCCGTGTACGCACCTAGCCAAACGATAACTACCAGCAACAAAGATCTACACAGGTGACCAGTGTTGCCAAGAATCACCAGAGGAAGGAACAACGCCCTAGGTAATTATAATCTACATTTTAAACTTTTTTAAACTGAAACCTAGGGCATACATTTAACCTCTAAATAAAATCAAGAACTTTTATAATTACCATAGAAAATGGAAACTGCGCCCATAACGACTAAAACACCAGGATCACCAGCACAGAGAGCTGCTCCCCCGGGAGCCGACCCTTCAGGGGGGCCTGATGCCGCCTCGGTAGCGACGCAAGGTCCCCCTCGCCTACGAAAGCAGCGGCAGCCTGAGACCAACACACCAGACATCATGCAGTGCTCATGCTGCAATAGGGCGTGGCATACAGCCTCGTCCTGCCGCAGCAGCCTATCGTGCAGAAACTGTTCTGGTGCTCACGAATTCAAGGAGTGCCCGCTAGCCAAAATTGACACTAATTTCAAGAAGCCGAACAGCAACCGCAAGTGCTCCAACTGTTCCGGTGCACACGGCGCGAGATACATGGGCTGCCCATATCTCCAGCAGTGCAAGAAGTCACTAAGAACCGCCCACGAAACAGCTAGAAAAAGATACGTGGCACCCAGGTCCTCAGCAACACCAAAGCAACCAAGTGGGAAGTCAGCACAACGGACATCAGAGAGACGAGTCGACAAGGCGACCACAGCCGCAAAGGACTCTGAAATCTCGGTACAAATTTTTGAAATTTTAGCTGAAATCATAGCTCTCCACAAAGAAAAGTCTCGATACCGACGCTGACAGAACCCAATTGCTAGACCTGATTTCGCAGATGCGTGACGAAATAAAAACCTTGAAAGAAGACAGACAAGATCAAGTCTCGCAGCAAACAAAGTGGCTAGCAGAAGCTGCACAAATACAGAAAAACCTGATAGAAATGACCCTAAAACTTCAAACAGAAAAAGCAGTAGACGAGACCCGCCGACAAGAAGAAAGGGAGGAGAAGAAAGGAAACCGAAGCACTCAAGGAAGCCCGAGAATGCACTTATAAAGAAGTCACCCTTATGATCCAGGCAAAAGCAGAAGCCGAAGCTGCAGTGCTGGCGGCAAGAACGGAGCATGTCCTGCTAGAGAAAGAGAGGCCTCCAGCAAAGTTGTAAAGCAACCAAGTACCGACAAAAGCACAGTTACCGAAGCAGTAGTGATGCAGCACCAGGAACAGATGACAGACCCCGCTAGGAACGAGGAACCAAGCGATGAAACAGCCACCAGGCAGCCAGTCACCCCAACCAGCAGCATCTGATGCAACCTGCGAGGCCAACCTCCTGGCATTGCTTGAAGAATACAACAAGCAAGTGGACCCGCACAAGCTAGTGTACGACGAAGAAAGCAGGCGCTACTGCATTGAATACAAATGGGAAATCCTCGAGAAAAAAGTCAAAACACCAGAAGAAATAGAAACGCGCAAGCTAGTTGACAAACTCCATGACGAACTTACCGCGACCCTGATCAAAATTCGCAAGAGAAAGCATTGGAAAAATGGCACTTCCAAGAGAAGAGGCTACCGCCAATTCTAAGAGCCACAGGAGGAGCCCACCAAACAAGATGCCATCTTTACGGACAGCCCAAAACAAAAAATCGCCAACCAGACAGACAGCCACCGCACCGGAGCCACACCCACCTGCTCCAGCCCCACTGGCAAATAACCACGTAATTACTACAGAACTAACCGAAAATCTTAACCTAGTATATTTTCAGGAAAAAGAAGACCACGGAAACTACCACATGAAACCCGACGCTCCGAAGCAGATAGCCGAGGGCATTGCACCTAAGGGGACCAGCACTTGGGAATTCCAGTCTCCATCATGCCACCCCACCAGACCCCAGGTGTATGTAATATGTTAACAAATGCCTTTCACTTTTATTTCAGACCAAGTGACCTCAACCGACCAGGGTGGATCCTACCTCTATCTGTCACTCTTATTCTCCCGACCTAACTAACACATCTACTGGCACATTCGAGCAAATTGATCTCTCATTTGCAGCCTATCTTACTTCCACTACTTCTCCAAACTCCGTGGAAAAAAAAAAGGGCTGATCACAACAACAGATTGTGACGGCCCTGGTTGTCCTGAAAGGGAACATCATTATTTGTTTGGCTTTTTCCGGCGGCTTACAGAACGGCAACCAAGCAGCAATAGGACGCCAGCACAGCGACCAGTACGAGGCAAGAAAAGCACCAGCAACAGTCAGCTAATACTAGTAATACCGTAGATATCATCACAAAGAGATCTGGACCACACCAGACCCAAAGACCACAAGCAGCACAGCAAGGAAGCAAAGATATCAGGTGTGACTACACACCACAAATAAAAGGATATCACATAAGACAAGAACCTTCCTCGATATAGCAGGCCTCCGGGCGGCTGAGAAAAGGATCAAATTTGAAATTTTTGTTGGACGAATTGGAATTGGAATCACTTCCTATAAGTATAAATACTAAATACTATAAAAGAGTAAGAGTCTTACTACGAGTAAAACTGCTTCATGATCACGGAAGCAGGAGTATCTAAACCTGAAGACATTCGCTGCGGGAGACGGAGCACTTATGATGTCGATTATTAAATCATTAATCAGATGATGAGGCTTAATAATGATAATTAATTAATTAAGGTTCTGTTCTAATAATCTCTATTCTCTACTTTTTTTTTTAAATTGAACAATAATAATAAAACGGTACATTTCAAATGTACAAACCTTGATGTCCTCCAGCGACAGCTGGCACGTGAGGAGCAGACATGCCCGTATAGTTATAGCCCCGTATAGTTCTAGAATTGTGTTTTCACCCAGTAAACAATAATACGAAACAAGTAAACATAAACCAACAACGCAACGATAAATAAACCCTCCTCACTCGGTGTGCTTTTCAGTGTTGCCACTTTTCTTTGACAAAAAATATCCAAAACAGTGTCAAAAAATATCTTAAAAGATCTAAATCTGCGTGGAAAAGATCTAGAAAAAATATCCAAATCGAAAAAGTCAAAAATTACATAGCTTTTGTTAAGACTTACCCTACATAATCATGTCCTCACCTTCACTGATGTCTACCTCACAAGATCCACAGGATAAACTTAGCTTGGATAATGAAGTTGAAGCTTCAGATCTAAATGACCCTGGTATGCTTTAGCTGTTCCAATTTCTTTATAAGTGGAGCAGTAGGCTTATTTCTCTAGTCTCATTAGGCCGAATTGTAATGGCACGATAGCATTTAAGAGACAAATGACTTGGAAAACCAGTAAAGTGTTTCAGCAAAAAGGTATTCCAAATTCCTTGGTAAATATTTAGATGAAGCATGTGATAATGCTAGCTGCAATGAATGACGCATACATTTTAAAAGTATAAACAATGGGTTAGCTTCCTTCAACTTGGCATAAACGCCATTGTTTATACCAACCATCACTGAGGCATTATCAGTACCAATTACAGCCAAATTCTTCAAGCCTAACTGTTTGCTGATTAAAAGGTCCTTTCTACATCACACTTTTCAAATTGAACTAGTCCAAGATTTTTTACAAATCGATCAAATGGTCACAGTTGGAAATTGCGCAGTGACAAATTAAAACATTGCGACTGATACTTCAACTTTTGATGATTCATTTATCAGTATAGTTCTGAAAACAGATGTCAGCAGTGTAATATCTTTAAATGAAACTGCAGTTTTATGCTTTTTTTAGTCTCTGCATGACTTTTTGAGTTTTGTATTTTCGCTTTAATTTCACACTTGCAGTACTTACAACAAGCTTTGGTCATATCCCCAGTTTTTAATTTTGTCATCATGCAACCACTGTTTCCAAATTTTTTTCTCATACTTTACTTTTGGCATGTTGAAAAGTTTTTTTTTCAAAGGAAAAGCCACATAAGAAGGTAAGCAATTTTTTTTTTTAATCACATGAAAAAGAAACGCAAAGTCAGCACAGTGCGGATACTGTTGAAACAAAGTTAGTATGAGCGATTGACTTTCTTCCCCACTAGGACATCACACAAGCGAAAAACACCCGATGACACAGCGTGCCACCATGTGGATGAGGATCACCGTGGAGAGGTCCCAGAAACCGCGTTCAGACATTTGGCCATTTTTATGGCCTGCCTATATTGCGGCCCCTGGCAAAAGCCAGAGTGGGGCTTCAAATAACAAAAAATTACGTCCTGGAAAGGACGTAAGGATTCGAAGCTATCGACACAAAGTTAGTATGCTTTACGCGCGTTTTTATTAATTAGTACCGGGTCTGCCAGATATTTGTGCATTGACCCCAGTGAGAGTTCAAAGTTTAAGTAATGGCAGTTGTCACAATGTACGTGCCAGGCCAAAACAAAAGTATTGTAGTAAATATTTTACACAGTAATTATTAAACTGACAATGAAAGAAAAAAAATCTATAAAATATCTAACTCATATGAAAAGAATATAGAAAAATATTTACGATCTAAACGTCAAAAACAGTATCTAAATGCAATGAAAAAGATCTAAATTTGGATATAAAAGATTCAAAGTGGCAACACTGCACGGTTGCCAGATAAGAAACTTTATTTTATGCCAGACCATCACCCAAATATGCCAGAAGATGCAAAAAAAAGTGTAACATTGTACTCACTGCACATCAAAAGCTTTAGATTAAATTCTTCACTGTCATTTTCACTGGAAACAGTGGAAGATAGAGCGTAAACCTTTTCAGATGTAAAATCTGTAAGCATTTTGTCAGATGGGATGAAGTATATGCAACTCATCTATAATGATGGCATATTTCTTGTTCCGAAAATCAAAATAAGGTCTATGCAACTGCATGTGCTCCAATGTACAACACCCCCCCCCCCTCCCCACCGACCTTGCGCTTTCATGATTTCATTTAGATGATCAATTGTGCGAATTGCACAATGGCAGATCATGTACAGCAAGTTGCAACTCTGCTGCTTCAACTTTATCATTACTTTGCCTAGGAGTCATTGTTGTAATAAGCTGTGACGGGCTTTTTGACGGAGTTTTCATGCTATTTTTCGAATTTTTATGATCTGATATGCTACTAATTCTTGGTGCAACAGTGCACTGACACAGTTTGCGATATGCTGCCTCTGATCCGTCTGAAGATCTTTTGAGCCGTGTTTTCTTCCAGTTACTATTATACTTTCGATGTCATAAGATGCTTTCCAGTGGATTAGGGATTAGGGGCGGGGGGGGGGGGGGGGGGGGGGGGGGGGGGGGGGGGGATTGACGTGGCCATTAGTAAAAGTTATAAAATCTTTCACAGATAGAACTAGGTCTAAATCATTTCATTTTCTGTCCTCAATTAGTTTCTGAACAGTCTGAATCACTTGGTATCAGTGGTGGGTTTTGGTTTTATATCCCACATTTATTCTAGTAAACTAATTGTACCCGGCCACGCGTTTCTGTGGCCCAGAATGGTAAAATGGAAAAATAAGAAAATAGCTATCTGCTAACAGTGTCTGTTATACCCCCCCCCCCCCCCCCCGCCTCGACACAGTCATATCTCCCTTTCCGAAGGATTGAAAAATCATCCCTGGCGAAATTATTAAAATAGAAATAGTTAAGAAATAATAACTTTAAAATAATGTTTTAAGCTCTCCCAGTTAACAGTGTCTGGCATCAACTACCCACTTTACCCCCCCCCCCCCCCCCCATCCACGATCACGAATCATATCGTCTCCGAAGGATGGGAAAGTCATCATCTGACGAAATATTGTAACTAAATTGAGCTTGGCATCCGTGTCCACCCAGACTAAAATGGGTAGCATTAATTTGTACTGGGAAGTAAATGCGACCTGTGTAACAGCTACCACATCGCCCATCCAGTACCAGTACTACTGCTACCACTACCACCACCACCTTCACAACAACAAAAACTGTCACTACTGTCTGTGTAGGTCGGTGTAGCCAGAGGTGTTAACGCCGCATGCTGTCGGCACGGACTGTTTAGTGTAATTTTGCCCCCGACAAAGAAAAAAAAACGCCATCACCTAACCATTGATGGAACCCACAGTAATACTCCGTGATGAAAAAAAAAAAAAGGACACTATACTCACAAATAGCAGAGAAAAATACCCCGCACCCGTTATCTCTTTCTCTCCGAAGGACGATGGTTAACTGACCTTGGCATCCGTGTCCACCCAAACTAAAATGGACTGTAAGCCGTCTCAGTTAACAGTTTCTGTCATCGCCGAATAGTTTTTGATGGAGTGAAACGTCGCGGCAGGCTAATTGGGACTTTACTGAAATCAGATGTCTGTGGGCGAAAGGCGCAGATATCGCAGCCTAGCTGTAAACCACAATAAAACGTGGCAAACACCCTTTTAAGGGAAAAAACAATTATCCCCCAGCAGGGATCGAACACCGGTCACCCGCGTGAAAGGTGGGATACTTACAACTATGCTACCGAAGAGTGAAGAGTTTCGGTCAGATATCGCAGCCTAGCTGTAAACCACCAAAAAAAAAAAACGTGCCAACGGCCCTCTCAAGTGCGAGCGAAGATTACCCGAGACATGACCAGTGAACATCACCTCGCCGCTATCGTAGGCTAGCTGTAAACCCCAAAACCGAAAAAAAGGCGTAGATATCGCAGCCTAGCCATAAATCACAACACAACGTGCCAGCCGCCCAGTTAAGGGCCACACATTTTTTTTATAACCTAGCTGGTATTCGAACGCCGGTCACCCGCATGATAGGCGGAATACTTACAACTGCGCTACCAAAGACTCAAAAAGTTGGTGGAAATGAAATTATATAATAATGCAAAGTTTAATCAGCAATAATGTCTCAAGTTCCGGTCTTTACATGTCCAAGTACTCAGTCAGGAAATGGTCGCGTGGATAACGAACGTAGATCAATCAAGACAGTTTAACTCCGCCTCCATTTGCAATGCACAATAGTATTTTTTTTAAACTAAATGCAAAACACAATGGGAAAAAAACTAAGTATACTCAGGCTAAAAATAAGATGTGTTTGAAAACCCAAGGTGACTAAAAAACCCAAGCAAAACATAAGAAAAAAAAAATACACACACACACACAAAAACATAAAGCCAAGAATGATAAATAGTATAAAATCTATAGTAACGACATGAATAATTTACCCCCTGTTATGTAAGTAGATTTTGTTGGGGGGGGGGGGGGAGGGATAGATTAAAACAACAAAGTAAACAACGCTGCAAAATGGAACCCAAAGCGTTATATAAATATCTGGATCATGGGGGGAAAGACACTTATTGGCAGCCCTGCTTAGCAGTCAGAAATGGCCAATCAACTAAAAACAAATCCGGGCCGGCAACGAAACAAACAATGATTTGACCGTTGCTGGAGCTCTGTCGTTCGTGGTTTGTGCGATTTTCTGACAAAAACATACTTTGAGTCAAAAGCAACGTTGTGTGAAAATGTGAAAGCAATCGGTTCAGAAGTTTCCGAGTCTATATGTAACAGACTCGGGAAATTAACATTTTTATTAATGTAGATTAACATAAATTACACAAGGCCTTGGTTTATCCACGGCCAGCTCCAGATTTGTATATGAATCTGGAGCTGGCCGTGGTTTATCTAACTCACGATCCGTTTAGGAGACAACAAATACAATCAGAAATGGCGCGAATCTCCGTTAGTCCGTACCAGAACGTTACAACAATGACAAACTGAAATGAAGATGTTAACTGTAGGTCGACATTACTTTTAGTAAATCTTCGTCTTTCTAACGGAGGAACCATGAAGAAAATGTGAGCACATCTTAATAAGAAAAGCCAGG